TTGACCTAGACGGATGCGGCAGAGAATGATAAAGGTAGTTATGAAGCGGATGGCATTAGGAGGGAGTTGATGCAGAGGAAGGGAGAACCACTCGCAAATGCGGAGTATTTCAGGGCTTAAAGGAAAGCGCAGGCCAAGTTTGAACTGGATTTCAAAGAAAGTGTAACAATCCTGTGAAGGATGGTCGAATTTATCAGAGGGGGAGGATCTGAGGAACGCCCAACCAAGAGGTTGGTCGATTTTATCAGGGTTGAACCAAGGGTGAGAAAGAGAAGTAGAAGAAGAGCGCTTGGAGAGTTTTTTGGTCGAGGATCCTTTGGGCGGAGAACTCGAAGAGGGAGGAGCAGTGGGCTGCGGAGAAACAACCTTGTCCTCCTCTGGCTCGTCTAACGCACCAAGGGGAGGTCGACGATGGCGGAGAGGAACGTTATCCATGGTATCCCCAGAGTTTGAAGAAGCGACGCGGGCCGTAAAAACGCGAGTAGGGATTGTCTCGCCGGGGCGAAGGATAGAGAGAGGGACAGCTTCGAGCGCAGAGGGTAGTATTTCAACTGAATCAGAGGAGGTCTCAGAGTCTGAAAAGAAAATCAAAACAAAAACAAAGAGAACAATATCAAAAAGAAGCCGTCGCAAAGAAGAAAGAGGGGAGAAGAAAGATTAGGGTTTTAGGGGAGAGCAATCCAAAAACCAGAAGGAGGATTCGGGAGGTAAAGGGACGGAAATTTCAAAAATTTTCAAAGGAGAGGCAAAATCCTCAACATTCAATAGACAAACAAGAGTATTCCAAGCACAAATTCAACACAAGACGAGCCAATTTGAAACAATTCAGCAGGCAGATCAAGAGCACCCAATATTGAAAATCCAAGAATACACAAAATAGAACTACAAAGAATACAAATTCAAGTGTGAAGAAACTTACTCATAACCGTGGATCGATAATTGATGGAAGTTCGAAAGAGCGCAGGAGAAACCGTCGAGAAAGTAAGGGTTTTTTGCAGAGAGAATTTTGGGCACAGAGTAATTCGGAAATTGAGAGGGTGGAAAAAGCTGAAAAATACGCTAAGTATGGAATTTATACTTTGGAGATTGAAGGGTGGAAAGATAAGGACCGTCGGATTAAAGTTAGATCCAATGGTGGGGAGTATTAATTTGCACGAAGCTCAAAACGGACGCGTTAGGCGAGGAGGCGCAATAATTAAAGTGCCTGACACATATGACAGACGTGACGCGTGGCAGAAAACGGGCGCGACAAAAAGAACTTAAAGCAGATAGCTGTATCTCTAGCGATTAATGGAAATTTATTCGAAAAAATGAGCGGGAAGCTCACCAGTCGGTCGATACCTGGCAAAAGCCATCCAGAAGGACGATAAATACTAATTCACTCTTAGATCGAGTCATTCAGACTCGACCAGAGTGGGGGGGACTAGATGATATGGGATATTATACCCATTAGGCTGAACCGGACTATTGACCGGTCGAGGAGGTCGTATTATGTGGAAGTCAAAGAAATCGAGCGGTTAACCAGTCGACCAAGCAAAGCAGTCGAGCAAACTATCCTTCGACCAGATACATGATCAGGCAACTTATTCGACCTCAACCGGTCGACTACTTCGAGGACTTAACACCACGTTGATCGGCCTAGTCACAGGCGCGTGAGAGAGCCTCTGACAGAATTCCAGGGGAATATTTACCCCATGTGCAGGGGGACACGTGTCGAGAAGGCAGTAGTGGATAGCGATAACCACCTCTGACAGCCTACCCCATGTGCAGGAGGACACGCGTCCAAAGGGGATTGGTGTAGGCAATAGTGGCGACGGCTACCTCTGACACATGCGTTTGGTGTGTACGGACGGGCAGTTAGGGCAGACAGCTCATCAAATCCGGGCAGCCCTAGGTCAGGTATCTCACCCCTATATAAAGGGGGTGAGCCTTTCTTCTTCAACACGATCATTCTACTACTTACTCTTGAGAATTGATTGAACATACACTGACTTAAGCTTCGGAGGCTCTTCACCGGAAAACCCCTCCGGTGTGAGAGTTCTTTGTAGGTGCACGACGTTCAACCGGTGAGAAGGAAGGCGATTACTCAAGTTCCAGCCGGTCGAGAAGTTTTGTGTTACCACAAGGGTTTTCTCCTTAAATTTCCTCTCCCCCAACAAGTTTCCTGAATGTTCCACATGTACTCTGACCATTCAATAAAAAAAGCACTGGGCCAATATTTTTGGCCATTTGAGATTAAAATATAAAATAAAAATTTCAACCATTAGTTTTTCTACACACTATGACATATAATAAAACAAGGATTGGACCAATGTTTAGTTTGGGTCATTCATACATGTTAGGTCATTTGATTAAAAAAAAAATCTTAACGTTTGTTGTTCAAACTTTTAAGTCTAATGGGCTAATTGAGCCATTTTAAATTTCGAGTCGTCTATACAAGTCAAAGGAGTTTGAAAATAATGATTTGTGGTGATTGAGATTTCTGACGATAGCAAAACCACGTATGTTGTATATGAAAAAAAATTTAATAATATTTCGAATTTTCTTTTTAAAATATTTTTTTAATAATTATATTAAGATATTTACTATAATTTGTATTTTTTATTTTTTTTGCTTTATCATAATGCTTTCTGTGCAAATGCACAGGTTACAACTAGTTGTGAATAATAAGCGGCTGCCGTTTGTTTCACTTTAACCATAACACGTGT